CCGCCCATCCCGGTGATCCGGAGTGAGCCCGCGCTGAGTGGCCGGGATGGCGCGGCCGGCGGGGAGAATAGTCTGTTTGCAGTCTTACACTCGCCCTAATCTGTTTCCCTGAATGCTGTCGGTCTCATTCAGTTCAGCACGCGGAGAACCCGTACTCTCCATAAATTTAAGGGAAAGGATTATGGTGGCCAACTGAGGGGCGGACCCGGGAAATCCCGTCTCTCTGTGGGCTGGCTCTGAACAAAGCCGAGAGGGAGATATGATTCTATCGCCCAACATGTATGTGCCTGCTCCCAGCCCCACCTCCAGACCTAGGTTGTTCCACAAACCCTCTCACCATTAAAGTGACTTTTGTGGAAGAACAGTACCCCAAGACTAGGGACCTTGCTTGCCCTCACCAGCCACCTCGGACTAAGAATCGGAAACCCAACCCTGCGTGGTAATTCAGCTGCAGTTGTAATACCAGCTACTCCGGAGGAGGCTGAGGCTGGAGACCCTGACTCGAATTTATTTAGTGAAACCGTCGCAATAAAACAAATAACAAAAAAGGGCGGGGATGTAGTTTAGTGCTAGAGTGCTTTACCTAGACTGCAGCAGGAAGCCTAGGTTCAATCCCCCATGGCAGGGGGTGGAGTGGGGGGTGGTTGAAGAACTTTGATAACATATTAAGAGATACTATCAGAATGAGCCCTCAGTCTTTGTTGTGTATGTTGTTCAAGGAGCAAGGGAAGTATGACCACTTGATACTGTAAAACCTAAAGTCTCACTTCCACTCCACGGAGGGTGACAGCGGAAAGGCCTTCAAGATGCTGAGTCCTATAGTCCAACGATGGCTCGGGAAGCAAGACCCAGGGCCTCACTTCTGAAAGCCATGAACAGCCAAAAGGGCCTCCACGATGCTGGGACCTATAGCTCAGCGAGGCTCCAGGAGCTAGACAGAGGAACGAGAGTCACCCAGGAAGGAACGCACCAGGCTGGATGGTAAACAGACCTTCATTAGTCTGGCCAGACAGCACTCTGGAGCCAAGTAGCTCTGAGAGGCAACTGCTTAGGGGCTGAGGTACTTTTTATAGGGTTTTTCTAAACAAAAAGTCAGGGTATTCCTAGAACTACCAGAGGACAAGATTCCAAACACATTGCTTATCTTATGCAGGAAATGTTCTATGGTCACTTTTTGTCATATACCATTTGCCCCTGGGCAGGCTGTTAACCAAGTAAGCAATTAGCATATGAAGAAGCACAGTCTCTGGCTTATTAGCATGGAGTCACTTTAGGTCTTACAATACTGAAACACTACTGCTGACAGACACATCAAGTTCCAGGGCTGCTCATCCATAGGATGTAGAGGGAGCCCTTGAACAACTTGGACATTTCCTCCCAAAATATCAATTTATCTTTCCCCAAAGAATTAGAATTGTACCCAGGGCCTCCACCTTCAGTCCTTTTACTTACTTATTTTTTAGTTTTTACAAGATTTGCTAAGTGACTGTGTTGTTCAGGCTGGGCTCAAACTTGTAAACCTCTTGCCTTAACCTCCCAGAGTCCTCGGATTACAGGTATGCTCCACCACAACCAGCAAGCACTAACATATTTGATTATAAAGGAGGAAAGATTGATGGTTGAAGATGACTTGAAGTTCCCAAGTTAATGTTTTATAAATCTGAATGATGCATAGTAGACCACAAGTTATTGTGGAGTATTAATGAATTTGGGCAGTGAGAATTAAATTTTTTACCTTTTTCACTTATGATATGACTACATTAGGATTAAAAAAATGTACTTCACAGTGTGCAAAAAATCATGGTGTTTAAAACTACGTGTTAGCCGGATGTGGTGGTGCATGCCTGCATTCCCGGCTATTTAGGAGCCTGAGGAAGAAGGAACACAAGTTTGAGTCCAACTTGGAAAACTTAGCAAGAACTGCGCTCAAAATAAAAATTTTAAAAAGGGTAGGGGAGGCTAGGGATGTAGCTCAATGGTAGAGTATTTGCCTAGCTTGCCTAAGGGCTTGGGTTCAATCCTCAGTACCACACAAAAAAAAACTTTGGTTGATTGATTTTGGTGGTGGTATGTTTTTAACCCATGGCCTCATATATGCACTTTACCATTAAACTGCACTCCAAGTCCTGTTTTGTTTTGTTTTTGAATTCAGCATTGAGGTTAAGCATTTTCTACATGAGAAGAACTGCCCTCAACCACTATTACCAAATTGCTGGGAGGCTGAGGCAGGAGGATTACCATGAGTTTGAGGTCAGTTTGTGCTACACAGTAGGTTCAAGTCCAGCCTGAACTACACAGTAAGACTGCCTCAAATACAAACAAACAACAAACAAAAAATGACACACTAAATGGCTTTAGAAATTGGTTTTTGGGGCTGAGGATTTAGCTCAGTGATTCTGGCGCCTGCCTTGCAAGCACAAAGACCTGATTTCAATCCTGGTACCAAAAAAAAAAAAAAAAAAAAAAAAAAAAAAAATGGAAAAAAGAAGAAAGAAATTGGTTTTTGTTGCAGACTTGATACTGTTTTTTCAGCTTTTGGGGAGGGTACAGGGATTGAACTTGAGACCTTGCACTTATGAATTGATACTGTTTTTTAATGAATTCAACCTAAAGTTACAAGGCAAAATGGTGCTTACATGTGAAATTCATATTGTGCTGAAGTTATTACAATGACCATTTGACTCAGAGATAATATAAACTTCCATAATACACTTTTAGCCTGTCAAAAGGTAAAAGAAAACTCTATTGTCACATAATTTACAGCAGATGTATTTTCTGAGTTTAAACTACAATTCTAGACAAGTGTGGTGGCACACAACTATAGTCCCCCCACTTGGGAGGCTGAGGCAGGAGAATTACCTGGAGTTTAAGGTCAGCCTGGTCTCCACACTGCACACTGAGTTCCAGGCCAGCCTGAACTACACAAACCCTCTCTCAAATTATTCCCCTCAGAAGAAAAGAAGAGAAAGAAAAAGGCGCTCGAACTACAGTTTCAGCCAAGTTTGTCAGGTATTAGTGCAAATAGAAAGGATAGTCCCATATTTCAGAATTCATCTCACTTTGCAATTGAGAAGCTTCCACATAACTGTTGATTAGATCTGCAATGTTTAACCTGCAATGTAGTGATATACTAAAAGGCAACTATCAAGAGAAGAATCTAATTATATAAATCCTTTCCAAGCAATTAATATGCTCAATGTAAATCATGTGCCTGTGGGTTATTAGTATCTAGTTTCTATCAGTATGGAGACATTTTTAAAAGTATGTAAAATCTCATTATGAATCCACTTTGACAGATGAATATTTGCAATGAGTTTGGATGACAATGAAGTCCCAATATAATGACATATTATTTTTCTATTATTAATAGACCCATATAGAAATTGTACTCGCTGAATGTGGTGGTGCATACCTATAATTCCAGCTCTTGGGAGGCTGAGACAGGAGGATTGCTATGAATTTGAGGCCAGTGTGAATAGTGTGAATAGTGAATTCACGGCCAGCCTGAACTACGTAGTGAGATCCTGTCTCAAAAAAACAACAACAAAAAAAACATACTCGATTTATTATTATGTTTTGAATTATGTCAACAAAAATCTTGTGGAAATTTATCTCTCATGTTATCACCTTGCTTCTGCCCCTTTGCCTATATTGAGGCTCAGAAGGTAATACCCCAAAATATGGTGCTGGGACATACTGAGTACTTTGAGCTAAAGGATCCTGGAAGCCCCAGAAAGAGCCTCAAAACTTTGAACACCTCCACCTGCCTGTCTTTCAGCTCTCATTCTCCCACAAAGTCATAGGAAGTAGAATTCCTTTTCCTGGAGCTGGGTCATAGAAATTAGAGCCCCTTCAAGGCTGGTCATGTACTTGGCTCAGCACCAGACTGTTTGCCTAGCATGCACAAAGCCCTAAATTCCATCATTAGTACAAAATAGAAACAAAGAAACAAAGAAAGAAAGAAAGACAACAATAATCATGGCAAAAAATAAGAAATTAGAGCCCCTGTCCCCAAAACCAGCCATAAAACTAGAATTCTTACAGTAACCTTCCTGAATCTTTCATCTCAAACTAGCAATAAAGAA